CCGATGCAATGGGCAGCGCGGTCCTGATTATCCTGCGCGACGACCGATGCAGTATGAAATTATTTTTTGTTTGTGTGTTCATTGGAGCTTTTTGGACGGGTACTGCTAGGGTGTCCAGCCACTAAGCAGGAGAACGATTAGGGTTTTCGTCCAAAGCCCTTAGTTCGAACAAAAACCTAACCGCAAGGCAGCGGTTAAGGTGGATTGGAGACCCATTAACTTGGATCAATTATTCCTCCAACACGTTTTATTGGCTGAGACGCCGACTCAAGTCGAAACCCCAACCTGGAGGACCAGGAGACTAGACTTCGTCTGACCTCTACCCATTGACTTTCCAGGCATGATTAGATTCTTAGCTCGATAAAAGCCATCCTGTGTAGCTCGTTTGGTCACAGAGGTGCAAAAGCCATCACATCACGTCAAGGTGTAGTCTCGTCGTGATGTCGGACCCCAACCAAAAAGGGGAGAGACATTTACTCTACCTAGTGGCTCTATGCCTCGTCTCCCCGTCATCTGTTGACCTCACGCGGTTTTCTCCAGCCCGAATTAGCCACAGCGAATAAAGCACGATGCGGCAGACCATGGCTGGGCATACGCAATACATGCCCTAATCTGAATTCGATGAGCTAGCAGGTTTATCCCGGAAAGACTCCCAAACACACGACGGTTTACCTTCACGTTACTAACCCGTTCGCTCCATCTCACGTGGGCTAAACTGCGTAAACACCGATAATCGAAAACCTCTAGTCGACGGATATCTTCTACTCCCAAATTCAATGCCTCACAACAATAAAGCAGAACTGAACGAACGGTAGCGCAATATGCCCGACCTTTCAACTTCAGTGAAACGTTGCGTCTACGCCAAACGTGTTTCAGTTCTGCGTATGCTGCTCGAGCCTTGGGAAGTCGGGCGGTTATCTCCTTTTCTGCACTACCATCATCGGTCACGCAACTACCGAAATAGGAAAAGCAATCCACCATAACTAAATCCTGGCCATTTAGTTTCAGAGCGGGAGTAGGCGAAACCCAGTCCTGCAGCATCACTTTGCACTTTGAAGGTGCAAAGCACACACCGAATGTGTCAACTGCACTTGTTAGTCTATCAAGTATGTTTTGTGCGTCCTCCATACATTCTACCAGACAGACAACGTCATCGGCGGGNTCCAAATCGCACAGCTTTTCTCCAGCTGCCCATTCAATACCTACATTTTGGAGTCCACTTAGTGCGTTCTCTAGTATTTCGTCTATGACGACATCGAACAGAAACATCGTCATTATCATCGTACAGCGAGAAACAGTGAAGCGAACTTCACTGATCGCTGCCAGGTTTCACTAAACCTTGTCCTTCTAAACTTAGTATCTTTCATCCTCAAGGGATTCAAGTTTCTTGATGTGACTTTCCCATCGCAGGGGGCAATGTGTAACACAGCACTGCACAAAAACCCACGGAGTGGGATGCTGTGGCTGGGGGTTCTCTCCTAGTCGCCTCTCTACGTGTAAACCATTGGAGATGAATCCATTCATCCTATTGTCGTAGCATCGGGAGATCCTTGAATTTCACCAGTTCAAAAAACTGGACGATCCGGCAAACTACCGTCATTGTTCTAGGCACCAAACTGAACTGAAGTGAAATACTCAGTTCGGATTTTATAAATGAAATATCGAAAATGCCATCTTTAAATATGCACTGAACAGAGTTCAATTTCGAATCATTTAGACGAAATAATTATTGAAAACCACAACTTGACTTTTCCTTGGAGATCAGGCCCGTCAGTTACGATTTATAAATGAAATAATTTATGGTAGTGGTGTCCTCTCCTATCGCAATGGTACAATTGGAAAACAGAAAACGGGAAGATTTCCTTAATTTCAGTTGTACGTCAATAAAATCTATTTCGCAATCTGACTACATCGCGCGCTTACAAATGACCTAGTCGGAAGGCATCATCACAGATGTTCCTACGTATGACGGCTTTATAATTGCGAGACCCTAAATTTGAGCGTGGAAGATATTTGTGGTCTAGAAATCTTCGACTGCCGATTTTTACGTAGTTTGGTGCGGGCTGGATGGAGCAAGCGTGTAAACAACTGAGGTAAGCCTTCGCGTATTTTTCTAATAATTCGATAGAGAATTCGTTGTCCCATCGAATTCCGTTTGGTCCGCTCCGCTGGCTAGGACACGTATTACGCATGCCCAGTCATCGTCTACCGCACCGCGCCTTATTCGCAGTTGCGACTCCAGGTTAGAGGTCAACAGATTACGTGGAAACGAGGCATGAAGGAATGTACAGAGCGATCTAGCAGAGTAGGTCTCGCGCCTTCCAGGTTGGGGTCCAAAAGACTGCAACTGGCTGATTGGAGGTACTGAAGGATAGGGCAACTAACCGACAGCGGTGGCGCTCTTGTTGTCATTCCTTATTAGATCAGAATGCTTGAAAAGGTTTGTACGCACCGTTAGGTTTCGCACTCTTTGTTGTCAAGAGGTTCATTTCCTTCTCCACCCACCAATTAGGCTCAATCCTTGAATCCTGTATTTTGTCGCCCAATTTGTGTACATTGGGAGCTTAGTAGGGATCAGTGAAGTTCGCTTCACTGTATTTCGCTGTACGATAATTATGATGATGCTGATCATTTAGTTTTACATCTCTCTTCACTGAACAACCCAATCGGTAGCCGAAAGAATAGCAATCAAAACCAGTAAACGGAAGTTACTGGTTGTATAAACCGAATTTCAATCTACAACTGATGCACAAAAACGACATTCGGATTCCCACTGACACAACCAGACGTAAATCAAACTGATCCACACCAGTGTATAACACACAAGGGAACAGACGCGGAACATACCGACGAGCAGATATTAATCAAACGATAAGCGTGTATGTAAAAATTGCTGACGGTTGAGCTGCTCGCTTCAAATACCCGAGTATTATCCGAATAAACAGAACCAGTGAATGTTCAGGATATAGTGACGACATCTGTCGGGTTAAATTTTACTGGAGGCTGTCTTCCAGGGGACGAGCAGCGCATTTTCCCTACAGACATCTACAGAATTGAATACGCAAGGGCATTCACTGGACGATCATTGTTACTCTTCTGCTATGGCACGATACGAGCTTACGGCAGCCGATAGTTTGGTGCATTTGCTAGCCAACAACCGGAGCATCATTTAGATCCGAATATCAATATCGTTCCATGCAAAGAAAACAAATCGTATCTAATCACAGGATGAACTGAACAACGATTTAATGTGATACAGAGTACTAAATCCAAAATGATTCTCAATATTTGGACGAGTTCGGTAAACTTCGTGTCTTAGTTCCAAGATGAATGGCAAAGTCAATCACTCGAAAACGGGAACATCGAAAGGAAAGAAAAAGTCGACTAATTTGACTACATGTGGGAATTATTTCATCAAATTTATAATTAATTCGAGTGTCCACTTAAAGATTAGTTGAATGAGAGCGTGTTTTCCATAGTAATACAAAAAACGAGCGAGCAAGGAAGATCGTTACCTTACCCACGCGAGTAAACAAGTTACTTGTCGGTTTAGTCGTTTTTGGGAGAAATAGCAAATCCTGAGCAGAATTCGTCAGCAATTTACTTAATTTTGCTGTTCATCACTGGCCTCAGACAGAATGAATGGAGGAATGAAGGAGAGATGTAGCGATTTAGGGTCGAATAGACAAAAGCACAATTTCAGTTAGTTTATTGCAACTAACAACAGGAATGACAATAGAAACTGTCAATTAGATCTCTTGTGATGACCAAAGTGACAAACAGGACAGTCGCCAGGACACCCATATATCAAAACGGATCGACAACTGGTAACTGAATTGTGTACCTACAAGTGCTTTTGCATCGCTGGTTCAAACAAGATGGAAGTGACTTTTTTCGGCGTGTAACGATTCATCTGTGTAAATATCCTGTGGGGACAAAAGAAGCACGAGCTAGCAAGTTATTCCCATAATAAAACTTTGACTTTAAATAAAATTCGAATAGAATTAGCATCTCCACCGAAAAACAAAAGTGAAATATGTGAGCCGTGCCCCAATTATTAACATTTTGACTGAACCAAGTGCAATATACACTGTGGTATTATTATTATTGTTCCAAAAATGATCAGAATGTATGCAACTAACCTTGGTATTCACATTGACAAAACCAGAAAAATAAACTAATGACGTCTCTTAATAATAAGCACCCCTGGCATCATTATTATTATTATTACACATAAGCATCCATTGGAAGGCACCCACGTAGAACCACACAATTGATTAAGTTGGAGTTCGCTTTTGAATGTGGGGTTCTACAATTTGTTTCAGATTCAATATACGACAAATGCAATCACGAACAAGTTAAAAACTAGCTCGCCCCCCCCCCCCCTAGTGTATACTGTTGTGCTTAGGGTGTTCGGCAAAAACGATGAACATAAGTTAATTGGATATGACTTGGACAAACCTAATTTATCACCAACCATCACGTGGAATCTACAATATTTGTTCCAGATGAATGTGAAAAACAACTCACATCAAACTTTCGCATAGAATGCAACTTTTGATGAATTCCCTTTTTGGAAATGGACACTTATAAAAGCGTCCAGACGAAAGTCTTTGTGTCGACTATTGTAACTTAATGATCTGAGTTACCTATCGCTAATTAGGCACTTCCATTCCACCTATCGAGGTAAAACGCAGCAATTAAAGTGACTTGACATGATGCACAATTCAGAATGTGGGTATGACACCGAAATAATGACGGTACCCTTAACCTTTAGGGTTTGCATTTCAGCTCGGTGGATATGACATCCGGCAGTCCAGAAGCCCAGCAATGAAGTACTGAATGGCCTAAAACCACCACTCAGAATATACATATATAGTACGACCTTAGTAGGAAAATTGGATCACCGCAATACAACCAGTCTTTGGTGTTTCTTGTCTCACGAGTTGGAGTCCAAAAGACCCCGTAACCACATGGCTGCGAACCGACAGCAATGGCGATCTTGCTGTCACTTCTAATCCGACCAGATGGCTTGAAATTGTGTGTATGCACAGTTTGGACTGTGTACTCTGTGTTGACCATAGAGGTTCGCTTTCTTTTCCCGTCCCTAAAAATAGGCCCAATCCTTGTACTCCTTACACATTCTCACTTGTTATGCATTATGAGTTTGGCAGTGATCAGTGAAGTTCACTTCACTGCGCAAACTTTACTGAAAGAAGCGAACACGATGGTCCTATGTAAAACGCTGAAAAGAGTGGTGGGATTTTTGATGGAAAAGTAGATTGAACAGAAGATTCATTTTGCATTTCAGCGCTCTTAACTTTACGAGAGACGGGTTGTCTTGCCGAAAAAATACGTATTGTGTCCGGACAAGTTCGAAACAATTTACCTACCTTGATGATATGCTGACAATTGCTTAGCGGTAAGCCAACCAAACTCTGTCCGTTCACCGAGATAATGTGATTCCCGATATTCAACTGACCACATCTAGCCGCTGGTCCCGTCGGGTTCATGTTGGCCAGTAAGGCTGTGGGTAACAAACTACCCCAACCCGAACCGACAATCACCACACCCAACTGTTCACCACGTTGTTTTGGTATGGTAATCTGACCAATGAACATGGGGTAGAGAAAGATAGAAACATTACATAAAAACACTAACAATAATTGATAATTGCATTGTTGCATCGTTCAAAATCAAAAAATAAGGAAACAACTGTGAATGATAGTACGCCAAAGCTTTTCACTCAAATTGAAGTGTTATGACTTTGTCTCAGCAATAGAACAGTGATCCCCAAGGTGGACCCGAAGTGTCCATGTTATCCTAGTGCTGACATCGTGAGAATGAAGTGCAATGCATATTCACTGGATGATATGCCAATCAAAACACGGCGGAATGTACTGCCGAAACCAAACATATTAGGCGGTGTTCTTGAAAAATGACAAATTTGACTTCAATAAACTTTCACCTTTCAGATTCATATTTGGTGACATGCGCAATGCATATACCAAACACCGTAATCTATGGACGTCGATTACTTACTCCGATGGACGACCGCGATTACCTAAAAATCTGCGCCTAACATCAGCATTGCTTGTCCGGTTTCCCCACCAGACTTGTGCAATGCAGCGTAGACAGTGGTGTTCGAACACCAATAACCTATTTTTATCATGTTCTCTTATTAGCCAACTCTCTGCACCGTAGAGTAAGAATAACCGAACCCCCGCAGCATATACTCGACCTTTTATAGACAGCCAAATATTGCGACAGCGCCACAAATGTCTCAAGTTGGCAAATGCAAATCGAGCATCCTGTATGCACACAAACCCTTCAATTGTGACGCATCTGCCAGGTGAGATATTTTTATCCGAATAGCGAAATTTATCTACTACCTCAGTTAGAGTGAGGCTGGGTGCTGGATCAACCCAATCTTGTAGTAGCATTTTACACTTTGAAGGTGCAAAACGCATACGGAACATAGATAAACCAGCCCCAAAACTATCCAGAAAACCTTGTAACTCACCTAGACCTTCACTTAGCAGCACACTGCCATCTACATACTCTAGATCAGACAGCCTGCCACCTGGAAGCAAATCGATGCGGTCAGCCCTGCACGAGGATTGGGCTGTTTCAAGAACTAAATCTATGACAAAGTGAGATAGAAAAGGTGAGAGAGGGCAAACGTGACAAACAGCACTTACTGTGATGAACTCGGGCAAAAAAGTGTCGTGAGCTCGAACTCGGCTTCGGCTGTTAATATAAAGAGAGGCAGTTTAGAGCAGTCGACTGAATTGAAAGTAGCTTCCCGATCGAGGGGAATAGAAATGGCGATTCTGCGAAGGGTGTGTTGTAAAATTTTTCGAAGGGTAAAAGTGTGGTCTATACAACCTCGGCTAGGTCTAAAACCAGTGCGCAGGGTTCACAAGCGGGAAACAATCGACGGAGTGCAACACCAGCGAGTGGCTTTCAGACAATGTTGATTAAATTAAATCCCCTGTGGTTTTCGCAAGAGAATCTGTCAACCTTCTTGGAAATCGGTATGATGTCCGATTCACATCATAGAGTCGGAATTTCTTCCCTATCTCAGGAGTTTCGTCAACGCCCAAACCCAGGCTGGCTCTGCATCCTTGAAAACCCAGGGGGGGGGCAGCTAGTCCGGGCCGGAAACCTTTTACCTTTTGAGATAATTTACTTCTTCATTTCAGATGGAGGACTGATATCAACCGGCAGTATTTGCCCAACTGAAGTAGGTATACGGAAGTCTTGTGTCGAATGGGGGCCAGCTGAACTGTGCCTTAAAATGTTCTGCCCATCGTTCAAGACGGTGTAGCTGAATATGAATAAGTGTGCCGTCAGACTCCTTACTTGCCTCACCAAAGCCCACTTTCTCCAAACCCGTACTCATAATCAAAAAAAAAGATTGCGAGTATTATCGAAAGCCGCGGCCTTCTCTATTTCGTTAAACTCCCCTATCCACTCTCTCTGTCTCAATCATTCCTCAAACTCTTGATGAGCTGGTACTAAAGGAATTTGTGCGCTTTGTACCAGAAGAAATGTCTTCGTGAGCGTCGAGCAGTCTGGTCGAGGTCGAGGAGATCCATCGTTTTGGCTTTGATCGTGCGTCAGAATCCGTTGTTGTTCTGATTGAGATTTGGATCGCTTTTTTGACTACCCTCCAGTGTTCACTAAGTCCTTCTGCTGCTAGTTGAGCTCAGAGGCGATCAGAGATTTCCGCTTCGAATGCCGATTTGGAATTATCACTGATATGGCATTCTGGGCATCCGTTTTCAGTGGTTTTTCTGTGGGGTATTTTATCAGGTGTAAGGAGAACCTAACTCGTGGCGGAGCATGGTCCGTGTCCACCGGTGTTGACTAGTAAGAGCAGCCACTAGCTGGAGTCTAGTCAAGAAGTGTACGCCCGGTCTTGACACTTAGCGCAATGCCGACACCAGCAACACTGCGGGCTTTGGATCCCAAGTCGCCTGACACACGGACAGTGAAGAGTAAGTCTGAGGTAGCATCTGGAGATCTCAAGGTGATTATTGAAATAGGGTTTTGTATGGGTGTTACCCAGACACAGCGTACATCTAAATTGAAAATGTTAAGGGTTCTAGCTAAGGCAGCTTTTTGACCGATCTGATAGTTTGAGGATATTAAATGGGGCTGAGTGAAATTTTCAGAATCAGTTTGAGCAACCGTTAACCATGAACTTTCGTGCGCCGGTTTTGGTTGCTGTTCTTTGGCTGCCCATTTGGATGAATAAAAGAAGACAGAAAAGTTGAAGGTAGAGTTGAACATAAAATGGAGAAGTTCAGTGGTCTAAGTTTGCAAAGAAATTGAGAAGATGAAAGAACGTCAAAAAAATCTGATGGCTTCTCCTAGGTTGACCTTATTAGTTGAACGCTCAGTGATATCTCATGGGTGGCGAAAAAAGGAGTCTGGCGTGATTCGGTAGTCAGAGGAAGAACTGGACAGATGAAAAAGGAGGTTTTCCAAATAGGTACCTAAGATTCTGGGGTAGGATATACTTCGCGGTAGCTTACACAGACGAAGGGGGTTTTCATTAGAAAACCTGACCGGAGCCTTTAACTGAAAAGTTTGATCCACAAGACAATGGGGCCTAGATCCAACGGGGGAGCGCGATCGATTTGTGTGGGGGCTTCTAGAGACCTGTCACGCAAGGCCTTCGGGTTTCGGTTCAGTGTATTGTTCGCTGGTACATTGATTATCGGTCCGCTGTTCGCGATCGGCCCTTAGCCTCGTGCATCTAATGAGACAAGCGGAACGTGGACAGGACAGCACCTTATTGGCCAGAGGCTACCCTGTTTTGGCAGGTGGCAGCTGTCCAATGAAGTGCAAAAACTTCTCTCACCATCGAGAGGAAGCCCCAGATACCCAGGCTCTTATGTCCATCTAGCGAACTGTTTTGACCGGTAAACTGCCCCTCACTGTTTATTTGATGGAGTGACCTCCCCCGGGACGAGTGTGGATAGACTACATAAGCCAGGTGCCAAAGCAGCTAACCTTGTGAAACTGAGCTTCGTCTGGCCTTTACCAATTAAACTTTCAGGCATGATTGGATCCGCTGCTTTGAGAGGCCATCCGATATAGCTTGCAGGGTCGGGGAGGCGTGCAACCCATCCCACTACGTGAAGCTGCAGTCTCGTCGTAATGGAATTTTCACATTTACTTAATATGGAAGTACAACGACCGCCTTTTATGCCACGCCTGTTCCAACTCTTGATGGAAGCTCCTGTAATGATATTGTGCAGTAAACGAAAAAATGAAATGGCTGCAATATGAAGTTCTTAGTTTGGCTACCATTCAGGAAAGATTTGTCAAACTATGAACCGTTTTGTCCCGAAGATTATGATAACACCATTGCATGAGCACGACTAGCATCAGTGTATGACACAGTCGGTCAATTTGAGGAACATGTGGCGGGAAATAGGAATTCAGAATAAAATGAGAAGCTCAGCTAGGAGTATAGACTCATTGTTTGATTATTTGATGACTGGTAAAAAGTCGGGGACGAAAAATCAGCGTCGAAAACGTTCTCTAACTGATGCAACTCGATTTTAATGTGGGGGGGAGATAATTACTGCCTAAAGAATTCTGAACACCTCCATTCGGAGCTAGTTATGCTACTTTGTGAACGGTAAATACACATGTTTCTGTCAGTAGATGTGTCCAGGGCACAGGAACTGATCACTGATAATTGCACACTTAGAAAAAAAAGATAAGATTCTTTGGCGCCCTGCATGAGGAGTAAATCAATGAGCATCGTTGTATTCTAGTGAAGAACAGTAACGCCTCTGGTCGCCTCCTTCATCTAGGGAAAACCAAACGTGAACACCAATAGACATACGCTGGAGCGCTGTGATTTATCCGGATGAAAACTTCCGTTTTTTTAAACAATCGAACATCGCATGTACTACAATAACCATTCACGGGGATAGTGAACTGAGCTAAACAAATCAAACACCATTCCGTGGAAAACATGAAAACCTAATACAACAAAAGGAAGGGATGAAACGGCTGCAATAAAGCATAGTATGCTTTAATATCGGTATGCATATCACTTTTTCAATAAAAAGGGAACAGGTAGGGCGTCCTGAACGTTCGGAACAGGGCAATTTGGGTTGTAAAATATGGTAGCTATGGCTAGAAATGCCAATCAATGACGCATCTGTAATCTTTTTAACATATTTTGGCATTCTTACCAGCGATGCTTTTGTTCGATCGTGTACTTTAACAGTGACCATGAGGATAGCATTTGAAATGCAGATCCTTGAATGTCGATCAAGCAATACAGCCCAATAGAGGCACGTTTCGATGAATTATCGTGATCAATTCATATCCTGAAAAAGAGGAGCTAATCCCACTGACAATAGGCACGCGTGCAAAAACGTCAGTGAAACTATTCACGTTCGGGGTAGATCCACATTGAGGTGAACCGCACAAAAATTGAAGTGTATTATAAATTGGGCAGGAAGAAGACAGCGGAAGCTGTATGTGCATGCAAATGGATAGTACATTAGGCCCGTTTTTTCCACCCGAAGGTTGAATTAAGGGTCACAACTCATCTGTATGTTGTAATAGGTGGTATGTTTTTTATTACACACTTACGTGTGATGAACAGCAGACGGGGTAAGCCCCATTGTCACAAGAACCTGCTGTTCAGTGATGGAAACCAGTAACCTAAGCCCCGGGACTTGGAGTGGCAAACCACATAAGGCCCCGATAGGTTAGGCATGGTATTGAACCGGACGACAGCAGAGCCGTGCGACGTTGTTTCGAGAATCGCTCACAAAACTCATCTCAATAAAAAACAGACCAGCGCATTTGGCATAACTTGACCCCGGGGCATCGTCAAAAATCAATGAGTGCGAACTACAGGTATTCCTCACATGTCGATGGGAAACAATACGCACCTGTTTGTGCCGGTCTTTATCGGAGAACATTGTCAGTTCATCGCAAAATATCTCCTGTTGATTCAGCACTTCCTCATAGTTCAAATGCTTCACGGAGCTAAGATCCTCGATACCATTCTCGCGCAGGAAATCCAAATATGCTAACTGGAAGGCATGTCCAACAGCCTGTGCTACCAAGCGTGCCTGAAACAGAAAGTAGATGAGTTTTCGTTGACAAGCTGAGCACAAGAATGCGAAACTTCCGGCACATATTGTAAGCGTGTGGAGCGTGCATCCAATGCACGGAAAACGCACTCTTGGAACCCGAAATAAGTTGAAAAACTATCAACCTTGAGACAAAACTGGCATGTTCAGTTAACACAGTGCTGAATAAATGACGATGGTGGCCAAACAACGCATGAACTGAATTATCCTCCCTTGCCTAAACCACATCCAAAGAACATCACAAATTGAATAGCCTGTAACACCAAAAATGAGAGTGAACGTATGTCGGGTCCCATTCAGTTATTGAGTCTTCATTCACAATACTTTAGCCTTCGCAGTCTTTAGACTTTCCGTTAATTTGTTTGTTGAGCATCACAAAGGCAGACCCCAACAACCAGGATATACTTTTATCCGGCCAGAAAGCCATATATTATAATTTTCAGGGGATGCGGGGAATTGTACTCTTTTAGCTGTCCTGGTCGACAAGCAGCAACTCATCATTGGTTCATCAACCAGTCTGTCCGCGTACCAATCTCACTCAGGGCATACCTAGGCAAATCAAGTGTCAAACTGTCGGTGAAACGTGAGGGGTCGAAGAGCCAGTACATCATAAAAGTGGTTGGTGGTAGCGATGTGTTATTGCACTGGTTGGGGAAAACTTATGACAAGACTAAAAACCATGAGCAAAAGTGGAATGGCCAACGGAAACCCTCTAGGATAAACCAATTGTATTCCATTATTACTATTATTGCTCGCTTGAAATAATACCACGGATGCATCAACGAAATCACAAAAGAGCAAGGCAGCAATAAAAAGACGTCGTTATTGACCGGATTAAAATAATATGTGCGACGATACTGAGGATCACAAACACGAATGAGCTCAAAAAATCTCCAGAACCTGTTCGCATTCGACTGCTCCAAGGAAATATGCATTGAACCAACAAGCCAATAATTAGTCTTGTCAAACACTGCCACTATTTTGCAACTGGTAAATCAATTATAAACCTAAACCACGATCTAGTAACATTTCCTGTTTTCAAGACCACCCCAAATCCGCCTCGAGAAAAAGGATATGGGCGGGGCAGGGTCAGAATTCGATAGAACTTTTCACTTAAGGCAAGCGAGTGCTTTAACAGATGATGTGATAAGATTAGATATATTATTTCATCAATTTCGAGTCCAAAGCAATAGGGGGAAAGAAAGATTTTGAACATATTTCTCTTTTATTGCCCAAACAATTATGATCTCCAAATTCATACCAAAATTATTCAGTCCAAACGAACACAAAAATGTCAGCTTTTTGATCACGCATCAGGACGCTTGCGAAATGCCTCCGTTTATGTGCCAAAATTTGCCGCAAAATGCAACGATGCAACAGACAATCTCTGCTGTATGATTTGGGTCTTCGGATCACTCTATTCATCTCCATACTGCCGAATTCGGAGAGAGATGATTCTTGTATATCGAATACTACATCCACATAACCACTCGTGCAACATTGTACTACCACTATCCAGGAATGGACACATCATGGGACATCCATTTAAACTTTTGCTCTAAAATAGACGGTTAGGCTGCAGGCGTCACTCTTTCAGTCTCAGAGTTTGTATAACCTGGAACTCCCTTGCACCACAAGTTGCTTGTGCTCCAGCCGTCGCTTCACTCAAGTCACGGCTCGATAAAACATCGAAAACCCTAACTGTTTAGCACCCCTAAGTGAACGTTATAATTTGTTATTCCAATGTATTACAAACCGAACCTAGGCTGCATAGATCCTATAGGATTCAATGAGCATCAGTTTTGTAATTTACCGATCATAAAAATTTGAGTTTGAATTTGCATGGATCAATTAATGGGAAGCGACGAATGGTATATTTCGTTAAAGACAACACTGTTTGTTGTTGTTTTTGCTGGGTTTTGTTCTTTATAATTGTTTTATCTACACGGCTCTGGTTTATACCCAATTCCCCCCACCCCAGGTTTTGGCAATAATTTTGTAATGTTGGCACCATGTATGTTCGCGAGCCTATAATAAGTGTGCTTTCCTAAACGGCAGTAATTTTTCATCCAAGATAAAGCAGTAATTTTTATTCAAGTCTTTTTCTGAAAGTCGTGCACAAGAACAGGTGCTAAGAGAGAGAGAGAGAGTTTTATCCTTCGAGGTCACACCTGATGAGTAAGCACGAGTGCAAAAACATTTCTGTGAAAACTGTGGTAACTGTGCATAGGTTCAGCGACTGAGAAACCGTATGAAGACGTCACATGACTAAGCCAGAATATCGGACTCACCTCACGGCTTTCGAGCACATGACATACTAATTTGGTTGAGGGTTCTCGCGGTTTCTGACCCGCCTCCGGTTTGCTCGATTTTAAATCGGATTTCTCGTGGTCTGGTCCTGATCTCGATGGTGTGCCACTGGTCTGTGAGTGACCAACCTGTTGCACTCCATCCGAATTATCATCTCGAACCGGAGTTTTTGATTCCGAACCGGAACCGACTTTGTCTGTTGCTGGGTCTGGTCTCCGAGCCATGAGAACAAAAATCTCTCCAATATCCGCGATGTACGATACCGTTTTCAATTCGTGATCGATGAGAATCTCCTGTAATTTATAAGCAAACGCGACAAAAAAAAGAAAAAAGTTTTTACACAGCCATATATACTACGCAATCGCGAGTGTACTTAAGTAACTTGAGCACATGCTCAGATTTCGATGAAGCACTATATTGCCCCTCATTAACTTCGTCAAATCTATTTTCATAGGTAACTTGCCCGATTCCAGTTCTGCCCATTTGTCGCTCTGCATAAATACATCCAACACCAAGCATGATATCACAAAGGAATAAACAATGAATCACAGATAAATCATAGCATTCAACGTTGTAACGACAAACGGCCAATAGAATCACAGGAATGAGCAAAAACAAATCCAAGGTACGAAAAAGCATCGTTAACAGGGGTACAAACTGAGAACTAAAACTGATTGAATGACTCCTAGACCATGTGAAAACCAGCAGAAACAGACAAACGCTCAATGAAGCTGCTTCGACGGAAACTCCATCCATTGCTATCCAACCGGACGGTAAAATGTTGTAATAACTTCAAACATAGAACCAATTGAGGGAAACTCGCGAGATAAACCCCAATCGAAATTCTACACTGGGATAAGTGCTAGATTACCTACAGATAATTATGATTCAAAACATAGGAAGACAAATTGGTATGTATTTTAGCTCGAGCAGCCAAATGTGTGAAACAAAAAGTTTTCGTATCAAACAGCCTAACAATTGACGGCCACGAGCAATGGATGCGTGCGGGCAAACGATTTTCTTGATGAGAAATCGACGACACATTTGACTTATGTGCAAGTGCAAAAACGGACAAATCGTGGTTACTGCAGCTGAATGAAAACAGTGAATGTCAATGTGTTCACATGAACAGATCACGTGCAGAAAGAAATTTTCAACGAGACAAGTTTCTGGCTACTTTCAATGAAGATAAATGGGATCACGCGTATAGATACCAGGTTCGTTGCACGTTAGTTGGACGTGTCTTTCTCACAAATTAGCAACAACGAACAGAACCGCGTCTCGCATAGAGGGAGAGAGGTGCGTGTCAATGGCTTACACACGAGCCAATCGATTACGACTGGCGACTTTCCCAAAAGTTAGTCGACTAAAACCGGAAATATATATATATATATATA